TCTCTCTCTCTCTCTCTCTCTCTCTTCAGTTACTTCTTCTTCTTTCCAGCAACTCCGCTCTCTGCCTCCTCCTGCCTCCGATCGCGCATCCCTCCTCTCTACTTCACGCTCACCACTACCGCCTCTCCCACCACGTGAACCACGCTCGTGGCTCACTCAGAACTTCACGACTCATTCATAACTCCCCGCGAGCGTCCAGCTATCCCCCCACTCAACGCCTTCCATCGGTCTACCCCCACTTGTCGCGTCGTGGAAGCCGGCCACCTAAACCAAGCGATCCTCGTCGATCTCTGCTTCGTCGTCAGCTTGCCGCAAGCTCCACGCTACGCTGCATCGGCACGTTCCGCGACTCCCTCGCAAACGTCGATTCTCGCTCGCCGATTATCTGCCACCGATCCCTCCAACACGGACTCTGCATGTCCGTCTTTCTTCGTTTGCAGACTTTTTCTCAAAATTTCATCGAAATTTCCTCTGCCCCACCACCACCACCACCACCACCACCAAAAAAAAAAGACAACTCCAAATAATGTCAATGTCAATGTCGTCGATTCGAAACCTGTTGCATCGTCTCGCCTCTTCTCAACATACTAGGTTGTTGGCAGCCTAAGTAACCTAACCGCAGGTCTCAAGTACGCGATGTTGGATCGTAGTTGGATGCTGAGGACGGTTCAGTCGTCGATGGTATGTCGTCTAGGGAAGGCTCGATGCTCGCACGCAGCTGCAAGACGTTCCGCGTTGGCACGCGAGCGCTTTTTCCGCGCCCGGGACAGAAGACACGTCGTTAGCCGGTTCGTTTCCTCAGCGTGAGAATCAGTAGCGGTGCGTTAATGCGTTTTTATAAATAATTCCGTATCTTCGAGCAAGTTTCCACCAGCAAGTCAGAGGGGATTCTCTTGTCTTCTGTTAATTATCGCGGTTGTTGATACGTAACACGACGCGAGATCTCTTCTCGCAGCATCGCACTGGGACGTGCAATTAATAATAAGTTGCGAGGGCCGCGAATTCGTGAGCTTTTCACTGCGTCGGTGAGCAGCGAGTCCTCACTCGTGTGTACGCGGCTACGCATACTAACCGCGTCACCGCGGAATAACAGAGAAGATGACGATAATGGTAATATATACTACGATATCTCGACGCTCGTGCAACAACACGAATTAATCGCCGTCGAGATGGTGACGATAACAAGCGTCTGGAGCATCCAGCGATCAACATGACAATGACAATGAGCAGTTTACGTCGCGTTTTAGCGGAATAATCGGCGAACTCTGCATAGTATCGTCTTCTCTAGACGCGTTAAAGCCAATTTGTCGTAATCGAATGACTCATTTGCATGGTTATACGTCTGATCGTCTGTCATTTGCGTATTCGACGAACGTTGATCGCGATGGCGCAAGTTTTTCTCGCTTTCGGCTTTCTCGCAGATATCGAGAAACGAAAGTGTGTTCACCTGTCGCTAAATTTATCGGGAATTATTTTACAAATACGCAAGCGTGTTTCACGTTGATCAACTTGCTAGTAGTAGAATATTCCGATCCTCGCAAATATAGATACGATGTCGTTTATTTTTGGATAGAAACGATGATACGACCCGCAAAAAAGATGAAAGGTATTTCTCCTTTCTTCTGTACGCGGAAGCTTCTTTCTTCCTTTCGCGTACGTTTGCACGTAAGCGTACCTGCAGGGTATACACTCAATTGTCGTCAGTGTGGATGTCGTTAAGTCTCTGAGCAATTAGCTGCACGTTCACACAACCGTGTGTGCTCGTCTCGCGTTTCCGATCGCCTCCACCTCCGCGACATACCTCTCCCTGTCCCCCGTTCTCGTTTCTTTCCTAGCTGAAATCATCGATGACGTTTCCTCCCTTGCCTCCGTATCCCGTAATTCTGCGTGAAACCTCCCCGTTTCCGCGATCGACTCGAAGGAGACTGTTGGAGCAGCAGTTCGTTAACGACGAACGCATACAACGTAACGAATCTTTCTCGGTAAAACGGAGGCGTGCGAGTCGAGAGACGATGACATTTCTTTCCTACATTTTTTTTTTCCTCGATGTTTTTTCCAGCAGCAGAAAGACGTCACGTTTCTCAAGTCATTCGCTAGATTTCATTGGCGATCGAATGATTTCACCATACGATATCTCTACACGCGAGGCGCGTACGTATACACGATGTTTTGACGAACAGCTACGCTCGCAATTTGCAACGATACACGTCTCTCGAGTGTGTGGCGATCGATGGAGAAAGGATTTCTCTAGGAATGACTAAGCGGTTTCGATCACGCTCACTTTGGAAACCAGTAGTTATGAGTAAGAACGATCGGGCCAACGATCGGTTTGTTTCTAGGTTACGGTGCCACGATTACGTTTGATTACGCGTATCACACGTACATCACAAGGACAACATTGGAAAGAAAAAAAAAAAAGAAAAATCTTATCAACTTTATACGGCAAGAATAAGATCGGCCTCCCTACCCTGAACGTATCTTCCTTTTACCTGTGCCACCATTGGCTTATCGCGCAGGTAAACTGGTTAACGGGATGACGCAGGGATTTTCGCAACGGTTCACGACGGTCTCGGCAATTGTTGCGAAAGGATTTCGCGCCTACGAAGGCAGACGTCTACACCGCCTGCTACGTCACGTTAATTCTCGGGGTCAAGTGCAGAAGAAACGGCGCCGCTGTTCGAGAAATGACCTCGTTTATGACCATCACGATGCGTACGTTGGAAGCTGGAATACTCTGTTATATAACGAGAAGGATGGTGCAACCTACCATCGGCACAACTATCGATTAACATCTGTTTTAAATGTATTAACACTTTAATTTCCTTCCCATTCTTTTTTTTTTTTTTTTTTTTTTTTTTTGTGTCGGCGAACAAATCGTAAATTATCCGGGCATCCAAAGATAAAATCGGCAACGGTAGAAACAGAATAGTTTACTAGCTTTCTCTTGCTCGATTAGTTCGGGCAACTCTTTCGTGTCGATCCTCACGTATTGAACGGCAATCGTATCGAAATGCTGCCATGGAAAGTGTCAGCATTCAAGTAAACTGAGCGATTTAATCTGGCCTGGCACAATCGAGTCCTTACCACTGCAAACTCTCGAAAACGTAAGATCCAGCGGATCGTCAGCTGGGGAAGTACGCGTGTCGATTCGAGCATCACTCGACTCAGTCACTCGACTCGGTAGCCTCGATAACGCTAACCGCTTCGCAAATTCACGCCGTATCGAGAGAATTGTCACGTGGACGGCGGAGAAATTTCTGCACCGCATAATCTCGTAAGAATGGAACGCGACGATACGTGATTGCTGCTGCAGGTTCGTCCGCGCTGGAAACTCTCGTTATCAGAGCAGAGAACACGCGAGCGCGAGGTTGAAAACGTAATCTTCGAAATTCACCTCCAAGTTTTCAACGTTTTGCCGCTCGACGTTGTCGAGAGTTGAGGGGGGAAATCGCAAGCTCGTCGTGAAAGTGGTGCTATGCATCGCCACTTTTCAAGAAATAAAGCTGAAATGAATTCGTAATGGTCGGCACTGTTTAGAATGTCATTAACATTTTTCATGATTAATTAATAAACGAGCAGGCACGAGCACCGCCAGTGACACATTCTGCGAGGAGTCGCATCTTAATTTGAGCAGCAGGCATATACCTGTCGTACGTGACCGTCCTCACGAGGTTTTTCACTCGAGGTTCACGCGTGAACCCTCTCTGTTACGCGATCTCTTTCGTATACGCAAGATATTGCATCGAAATCGTGACTCTGTCGGTTGCATCGACATTGTGAAAGAAACGCACGTACATGTAGAAGCGCGCATTACGGAGTCTACCGCGTCTAAAGCGAAATCTTGGCTGTTCATTATTCGCTTCTTCAAAGTACATTCACAAGTTGATAGAAATGTGCTCGTGTCTCGTGTTATGATAACACGAGTGAGTACGCGTTCGATCAACGATGAAAAGCGAGCGTAGAAAGAGAGAATCTTTGTCCAGATTCAGTTTAGTTTTCCAGTTACTAAAATTAGCAACTACGCAAGTATGTATTTTACAAATCTGTCATCGCCGCTGTGGGAAGTTGGTTGCGTGCGTCACACGCCGCGCCGGCGTGACATCCAATTCGCTGATTATTTGCATGCAGGATTTTGCTTCCGGCTTAAATACGTTACGCTGAGGTTAAGTGGTGACTGGACGTTACCCAGAAAACGTGGCCGCTTGGCCGAAATTAAGTGAAAAAAGAACGGGAAAAGAAGGAGACCAGCTGCAGTTGATTAATGAGTCAACGCGGTTATTGAGTCTTCGCGAGAAATGCAGCGTGTTTTCCGAAAATTAGCGGCGAACGCGAGCCGACCGGTGCGTGACGAATTCATCTCCTGCAACCACGTGCGCGTTATGTTATGCAGATTAGCCCAATTTCGTATCGCTAGTAGCTGTTACGCTAGTAGTCACGCATCATCGCGTAATGCCTGTCGTTATCAACCGATGATCGCTTCGATGGAAACGAAGGAGAATAATCGGAATAATCGTCCATTCCGACTATCGGCCGCGAAGCATCATCACGGTTGTTGGAAAGTAATATTGAAAAATATGACCCGAACACGTGTACCTGTTCTGTTCTGTTCTGTTCTGTTCTGTTCTGGCGGCAGAACGTCAATTACGTTGTTGCAACGATTTATTACAAAATGACAAGTCGGTGAAAACACTCGCCTGTACTCGCAGGTAGATCGTAGATCGATAAACAATTTCCAGTGATCGAAACCGAAGAAATACGTCTATTGTTATACCCTTGCGTGAAAAGAAAAAGAAGAAATGGAATCGCGTAACGATATCATTGGACAACGAGACGATCTCATTGGTTCGTTGGACCCTGGTGACTGGGAAAAGAATCGCGTATGTATGTATGTACGTACGTATGTATGTAGTACTTTGGATCTGGCCTGTGCAACCGGTTGCAGAGTTTCGCGCTGGGTATCGGGTATTCGGTATTGGGTATTGGGTATTGGGTATTACGCGAGCGAATTCGAGGCGCGTAGCGACGCGTTGCCCAGAAAAACGACGTTCGACTGGCCCAAGTGGAAAAGGCGGGAGCAATTTTTCGAAAGAGGCAATTATCGATTCGTGTGGTCCCCGCGATCGCAGCCGTTGCAAGAAGCGGATAGAGACATCGGCCACATTCCAGGGGTACGAAAGGCACGCCGAGAACCCAATAGGGACCTCCGCGTTTTCTCTCTTTCTTTATCTCGCTCTTTCTGTGACTCCCGCTCTCTTGCTGTCCGTTTTGCCCTTTCTGCTTAACATTTCGGCCGCACAAGGACCACCCAGAACCATACTCTCGTTGCCTGGCGCAATATTCAATACCCGAAGAGGTATACCGGTCGCACGAAACCCAAAGAAACAGATAGCGGGTCAATCGAAGCTGCTCGTCAATCGGAATCGTTCGTTTCATGGCCACTTTACTGCCATTTTACAGCCATTTTACAGCCTCTCTTTCATCTTACAACCAGCATTATATAACAATTTCCTTCGTTACCCTTACTTTTTTTCATCAATTTGCACTCGCGCCAAAGTACAGAAGACGAAGCGCGCTTCCTTTCTTTTCCTCTTTTATTGAGCGCTTTCGAATCTAATCGATCGGACAAGCATCTCGTCGTCGACCAATCGACCAATCGACCAATCGACCAATTTGTTCACGTTGGAAACGAAATGAAATCGCTTACCAGCGCGATGGAGAGAGGTCAGCATCGAGGCAGCGGTGATTTCAGAATTTTCTGGCCCGTGAAATCAGCTTTGTTCATTTATCGATTCGTGTTCGTCCGTCGACGAATGTTGTTGTCCCGGCGGCGCACCGAGAAAAATTACTTGCCATAGGGATGGCCGCGCGATACGAGACTCGTCTCGAATATTAATTTACATTCGAAAGGATCGATAATTTTCTTTCTGCCGATGCAAAACGATGGTAAATTGACGAGGTTGGCTCGCGCACGCATGTCAATGAAAACACGACGACGCGACGCCAAAGAAGCTAAACAAAAGAGCAGTGACGCTACGCTGACAGTTCGTTGAAAATCAGTGTACGCACCTAGGTGCGTAGAGTATTCGTATTCTTCTTTCGGGTCGAAACATCTCGTTCAAGTTTCCCAATTTTAGAGGGAACCTTTGCCTCGCGCGATGATTCTTCTCCTCGAACGACTCTATACTTCCTCTCTCAACTTTGTTGGTCATACCTGGTTGCGGTTTTCAAAAGACTATACCGTCGCTAACCTATTAGATTCTACAAATGTTTCTGACTGACCACGAGGATGTTTGTATATGCAATTATAGTAGAATACACACGTTGCTTACCGCGTTAGATAGTGTTTGCTTAATTTTGCTTAATTTTCTTCTTTTTTATAGCCAAATCGAGTCGTTTATATTCAAGCTTGTGATTTCCTGCTTGTGACAACTCCAAGTTTTCAAAAGCTTTGGGAAAATTTCAAGTCGCTTGTCAATTCACCGATGAAACAATTCGTTAAATCACTGTATATGTACGGGTATACGTAAACACTAAACGTACCGATCACTATTCTTACCGTAATACGGGTTTTTTTACGAAAAGAATGCAGATGTCATAATTGTCAATTTAATACAGGAAATAATGCACAAAATAATTTTCGGACAATAAAAAAGATTTTTTTTTTTTTTTTTTGAACGAAAGAATTTTAAATCAAATGTTTAAACCGGTCATCTGTACGTTCAGTGTTAACGTAAGTATCTAACGTCGTATTTAATTGCGACTGACTTTTCATGTTTTAGATCGTACGTGGATGCTGTTTCGCATTTTCGTATCATCCGAGTGGGATGAAATTTTATTTTCAAAATAAAGATATTTCTTCGGACTGATACATCTTCTCGCTAGCAATAAGAAGAAGCTGGTCGATCGCGACTTGGACGATCGAGTCTCGAAGATAATCTCCTCGGTACGTTTAATCGTAGAAGAATAAATCGACACTGTTACTTTGTTAAAACTCACAGGTGGCATTCCGTGATACGTTGCAGCGCAGATCCTCGGACGACGAGTCCCACGCCATGGAACATTCACGTCGCGATCACGTTCGAGCATTTCACCCGACGTACGTTATCCGACCGTGAATGTCGTTTGCACGATCGCATGCTCTAATCGCGGCACTGCCGCGTCTTTTCTCGCTTGAGGCACGAGCCGATCCACTGAGAAAATCGCACTCTTCTCTCCAACACTTTACACCATCCTTTGCACGCCCTTCTATCTTAACGCGTAATAAATCTGAATGACTTCGACACGTTGCTTACTTTTATAGGTATCGACTGGAATTCGCTCGAACGTTTGCAAATCGCAGATTAACACGTTCACTGCTCGTGGAATTTTCATTACTCACCACACTGTGCGCTGATCTGCTTACCGTACGTACGTGTGTTACGTACACACTGCCAATATTTACACCTATGTAAACGTTTACACGCGTAATTTGTTTCACACGAATTATCGCGGAACATGTCTCTTTTTCAACTTAACGCGACATTCCGATCATTGTAATTTCTGTAACTTGAGTCGGACGATCGAAATCACCAGAATTCACCGGTATTGCTTCGTACGGATCGCGAAATCGTAGACTCGAGTAGAATTTTGTAGTCGTCGAAAGAGAATTCGACTCTGTGTATGTAAATATCGTGGAATCAATGTCACGAGTTTGAAATTGTACGATACGCGGCGCGGCGCGCGCTCAGTTCAAATCCAGTCCAAGTTTAATTTTAGCCAGTGGAATCGTAAAAACCGGAAACGCATCCTCGAAACGATCGCGTTTTATCGACCAGTTGTTACAATCCATTCAGTCGAACTTAGCCTTTATGCGTTTTTCCACCATACGATGCTTCGAACAGCTATATCTACACCTTACGTAGCTGTATCCTGACGTAGAGAAATCCAAAATGAAACGTTGCAAAATATTCGAAATACATGCGCCACTAAATTACTTTAACAACAAGAGAAAACTTGTATGTTTATAAATGGTAAACATTTAAGAAAGACATTAGAAATTATGAGCCCGTTTGCTCTTGACCAAATTATTTATGTCGATCAGTGCTTATTCTTAATCAATTTTACGGAGATAGGCACATGTATGCTATCGTGGAACAGGAGGGAGGATATCAAATTTTGCCTTTGATGAAAAACTAAAAGAAATTGCTCGTGGCGTTATATCGAGTTTAGTTAATTCCAATATGTTTGTATCTTGTGTCATTCTTTTTATTTCTTATCAAAACTTGTTCTATGCGCCACGTGGTTGGCCATAGAATCGTGCAAGTTTTCCGCGCATCTTTGATGAAATGATGATGAAGGAACATCGATGTAGAAGATTTCTGTTGATTAAATAACCATTAATGCCATGTCATTAAACGATGAAGAAACACGTTGAATAATCTTTATCTTAATCGCGCCAGACATTGAATTTCACGTTACGAACGTGTAATCGTGTGTGTCATTGTAGCAGGTAATAAATTGTCGACTATTGTCGTATTTTAAAATAATTTCCTGTATTAAGCCTGTAAAGTGCTATTCCCGTGTTTAATTTAATGCAACGCTGAATAACCAGATGGAAGCTAAATAAATAAT